CCCCCGCTTTCATCTCTGCCTCTCCCAGCTGCTGGCGCGACAGTGTAGCCAGTAGCCATTAACCCCCCCCCCCATGTTACAGACACTGTCCTGTCAATCAGATCTCTCCATGACTCCATATAATATTTGACCCCACTCTCCAGCAGAAAATGTCTCACGTGTCTCCCTCCCAGGATTCTGCAAGCATGGGGCTCAGCAGGTTAAGCCTCTGTGCTTGTAATCGGAAGGTTGCCGCTTCGGGTCCCATGCTAAGCAGAATAGTCACATGACCATTGGACCCTTGAGAAAGGCCCTTAACCTGCGACATGCTCTAGGTGCGGCAGTTAAATGGCTGACCCTGTGCTCAGACCCCAGGCTTTGCTAATGTCTATACGTGTGCATGTGTCTTAAAAAGAAGAGAAGACTGAATATGTTAAACAAAGCATTGCAATTTACCTGTATTCAAACGTGTACAAATGACAAATAATGCTTCATTTCATTTTGTTATCTATGGGATAATATGTACCTTAACAGGTTGGGGATCTCTGCCCACGTCTGGAAGGTTGTGGGTTCAAATCCCATGACTGGCAGAGTAATCATTCCACCATTGGGCTTTTGAGCAAGGGCCTAAACCCCACATGCTCTAGGGTGGCCCTGTGTTCTGACCCCAATACTTGCTCTCATCTGTGTGTACATTTCTATCCATATCTCTCATGGAGAGCCAGATGGGGTATGCTATAACTGTCCAGCCTTTCCATGGTGAAGAATAAAGTACCTCTGTTCTATTCTATGGTACATTAGGGTAACATTCTCAAAATAAAACTAACGGAGCCTAATATTTCCATTTAAATGACAGTCACATTCATTGAAAATGAATTGTTTTCTTTGACACATCACAAATCACACAACATGGCTGTTGGAAATTTTTGAGAAGCTTTGAACACACATGTCTTATCTCTGAATGCTTACAATTAATAATTAAGTGAAATGTGTGTGCATGTGTTATTTTGATGTTGTGGGGACCATTTTTCCCCCACAAGGTTAAACTCAAATTTATAAAACTCTGTGACTGCAAGCATACAAATTAAAAATGCCAAAAGAAATTTGCTTGGTTACGTATGGTTAAGGGTAGGGCTGTGTAGGGGTTAGGATCAGCATGTTGGGATTACAGTTTTCCCCATAGAAATGAATGGAGAGATTCCACAAATATATGATTACAAACCTGTGTGTGTGTGTGTATTTGTGTTTGTGTGTGTGAGCGGGTTTACCTATCCTTATGGGGACACAATGTCCCCATAACGTGATAAATATCCGTTTTTTTTCCTGGTCCCCATAAGGGAAAACTCTATTTTATAAAAATCAGTAACTGCTATGAAAAAACTAAAAATGCAAAAACTCTTGTATTTTGTTAGGTTACTTATGGTTATGGTTAGGGCAGGGAGGGGGTTAAGGTTGTCATAGTTAGCATTAGCATTTTTCCCATTGAAATGAATGAGCGGTCCTCATAAGGATATGTTTACCCTACATGTGTGTGTGTGTGTTTGCGTGTGTGTGTGTGTTTGTGTGTGTGTGTGTGTGTGTGTTTCTGCGTGTGTGTGTGTAGGGCCTCGCAGAGATGCACTGCCTTATCTTGCTTAACAGATTGTTTACTGAGGAAAAAACTAATTTAAGGAAGAACCTTCACTTGGGGCTAAATTAACTGAAGAGGGTTAGAGTAACTGCAAACAACATCTGGTAACTATTGCCATGTTCCAGCTGCTCACATAAAACCAAATAGGAATAGTGTTGCTAGAATAAAAAAATAAATAAAACAAAATGAAAATTTCCTTCATTTCATCTTGAAACTGACCCCAGTTGGGCTGATGACATATAGAGGCTTACACAAACATAACATTTATAAATAAAAACACTCCACACACATTGTATAGAGACATCATTGTTTTACTTAATTTAATTTAAATCCAGTTTACATATTTTAAAAGAAATATGACCATGGAGGTCTGCTAGGTAATGGTTGTCTTTTGAGGCAGCACGCTGACACACAGAAGGCATTATGGGATTACGTTTTATCTGACTCTGGGGTTTTGTACGTATCATGTAAAGGCAAGAATAATGAGTGACTATGAACTCTTTTCTAGTTCATTCATTTTGAAAGCAGTATTTGGCGAATCAATTGACTAGTATTGTTTTTATTATATTGATAACTTTGCTGAGTCTCTTCAGCTGTAATTACTATTCATTTATTCATTATGTACTGCCATACTAATTGGAGGAAACCCTTAGAGCTTTATAACTTGCTGAATTCTCACCCAGTGCTTGCTGTTACAGACAAAAAATGTCCTTGTTCCTTGTTCTTTTGCCTGATAAGCTTTTTAAATATTTTTTAAATAAATTATTTAGATTGAAATGGAAACTGAAACCTTTCATGACTGATTTTGCCAATAGGAAAACGATCTTAACGACCGCCTGTTATCAGAAGGTCGCCACTTCGAGTCCAGCGGCTGGTAAAGTGATGATGTCACTGCCCCTGAGTAAAGCCCTTAACCCCAGAAACTGTTCTTGGGATGCCAGAGAAATGGCTGGTGTGACCTGACACCAGGCTTCTGCCACACCTGTGGCTGTGTGTCTAGTAGAAGAGCTAGATGGGATATATGAAAACTAAAGAATTTTGATGTGCCTGTACTCCTACAAATGGCAAATATGTTATCATTATTGTTGTTGTTATTGTTGTTGTTGTTCTTCCTATTATTATAAGGGAATGACACATATGTGGAATTTACTTAAAGCTTATAATGCTGTCAGTGAATTTAACCACGCTGACATCATATATATGCTGCAGTATAAACCCTGCATTCTGATTCTACCTTAGTGCAGATAAACACCTATGAATGAATCTTGGAAGCTGGACATTTCAGTTCTGAAGAAGACGCACCGTTGTAAAGGCAAGAGCATATTGTCCTTATTTTGTTTTGAAAATGTACAACACAGCCCCAAATCCCAGTATCTTTTTCCTCCGTACAGGGAGAAACTTCAAAACAGTATATCACTAAGCAGGGTAATTAATTTTACAATACAGCGACACAGACTGCTAGAGCTAAGCAGACTCGTTTCATAACTCTGACGATTTTCCTTGACCTATTCTGGCAAATTAATGCAGCAGCATCTCCTAACCAGTGCTCCGTTTCCCAAAGATCCCTGTCCAGAAAAACTGCATACAGTCTGTCATCTACATACTGCCTGCACAGATGGCACTTAAATCTCATTTCAGGGTTTATCGCACTTCCTGTATTGTGGTGATTGTGGTAATGCCCAGTACTGGCCTTGTACCTTAAGGCTTTGGGTTAAAGTCCCACCCCATCTGTGTGAGGAAATTTACATTCATTTCAGTTTCTACCCACAGTCCAAAGGTTTGTATTTTTGGTGGGTTATTACTTCTATACCTGCATTGTGTGCTCTCCAATGGGCAGCTATGAATATAACAGCATCTCACTATTATGTATATCATACATAAACATTTTGTTAAATTCTGCAATAAGTATTGCATTTTCTTTCTCCTTTCTAAATATTTACGTTTTGTATCGCCCGTCCACTTGGAAACATTGTTTTTTTAAAACTATTAAGACTCCACTGGTGCTGTTGGACAAGTATGTCTGACTGACGTATTCCAAGAAGGATATTTTGATCAAGCCACACGTGAGAAGCAAGGCTTTTTAAAAAATGTGTCCTTTAAGCTGAAAGTTCCATAAAATATTGAAGAATATTGAAAAATATTGAAGGTTTTTCCTCAACACAAGCAGGCATCCAGTGAAAGCTGAGTGCCAATGTCCTAAATACATGTATAAATATGAAAAATCACATCTCCCTCTTCAGGTTGCTGTATATCTCTTTATTATAGTCCATAAAAAGCTATTTGTGTGCTCTAGCTGGCTGAACATTCAATGTAAGATTTATGTGAGAGCACAAGATGGGCAGAAATGAAAATGCTTGCATTCCGAGCACCGCAGAGCTCCGCTCTCCCCCACACTCCCACCCCCAGGCATGACAAAGCTATCAAATTAGCAGTAATGGGCAAAGCCTGGCATTCACTGTGCAGTCTGGCACTGCCTCTAGAGTAGGGGTGTCAGACTCCAGGCCTGGGGGGCCGGAGCCCTGCACATTTTTGGGTTTCCCCTCATTTAACACACCTGATTCAACTCCTTGTGCTAAATACCACACAGCTCTTGAGCTAAATAATTTCTGGTGAAATAGGGAAAGAACTAAGCTACACTGGGCTCCGGCCCTCCAGGACTGCAGTTTGACACTCCTGCTCTAGAGCATTCACTGTGCAGCCTGGCACTGCATCTAGAGCATTCACTGTGCAACCTGGCACTGCATCTAGAGCATTCACTGTGCAACCTGGCACTGCATCTAGAGCATTCACTGTGCAACCTGGCACTGCATCTAGAGCATTCACTGTGCAG